TCATCGTATGCCAGCCGGGAAAGCCTTCGACAATACATTGTAAAATCATATGTTGGGCACAATGGAAACAAAGAACTCTCAAAGAACAGGACAAGGCAGCCTTCCTTGCTGACCAAATAATGACCAATTGAATGAGACCTCTTTCTTCTTTCCTCATCTGCTGGTCCAAAGCAATGATTGTGATTGTTGCTCAGTACTCTAAGACCAGTGATTCTAAAGAATAAACAGACCCATGAGTGTTAAGTCTAGGTATCCTGATGCATCTAGTACTCATCAGAACAGAACAGCCAAATTCTACTTTATTTTAATTGTAAAATCAGAAGTTGGGCACAATGGGAAGGTTGTTTATCTGGAGATGCCCCAATTTGTCTATTCTAAAATTGGCCACAATTTTCAAACATGAATTTATTCTTGTCTGCACTGAAAAATATGTTCTGCTACTCTTTCAGAAAAGGTGAAAAACTGTTAGATGGTAAGTATGATATACTTCTTTTGTTTTGTTCTTTAAATATCCACTAATGCTTAAAAATGTCAGGTAGTGTAAATATTTCAACCCAACCCAGCTTTCTCCAATCAGGACTGATTTGTTGATTTGTTAACCAGGGTGGGGGGTTTCTCCTACACCCCCACCAACACCCCCACCACTACCCCCAGTTAAGAAATCAATCCTAATTGTTTGAGCCATCTTTTTGGTCAACTATTGGTCAGGAAAGGCAGGTTCAGATTTACTATGGCTTTGACACTTCCATGCAATGGTGTTTTCTGTTACAAGTGAACAAAGTATATGATTGTTTTTGTAAAATTTTGCGTGATTTTGTTTTGAAAGAATTATGTATTTGTGTCTGAAAATGTCAGGTACTGGGAGTATTTTAAACCAAGTGATTCTCTGCAAAAATTTTGTGTTTCAAATTATAACTGGTGTTCTAATATGAACAAGTGGATGTTACAGAAATCTGTGGTTTTGGTATGATTTATGCTTCCCTGCAGCAATTGTTTGGTCTTCAATCCATTGAGTGAACGGGGCCATACATTTATCTTTCCACTATTACAGTATCAATCTTCTGGCCCTAGTAGGGGCACGAAGAATTCATTTACGTTGTCCAGATGTCAAATTCCATGTACTAAGTATATAATTCAATAGAATATTTCCTCTGAAAAAATTAGCTTTCATTGCACAATCATGTTTATATAAACCACTACTTTCTCCCAAAAGTTAGTAAGTATAGGACAATGTAAAAACACATGTTTTAAAGAGGCATTGTCCTTATTACATCTCCAACAAAATGCTGTTTTTGACAATCCTTTTCTATACAGATGTAATGGAATCCAGTTAGTTCTAGTATTATTTTTTGTTGTGTAAGTCATAGTTTAAGGTCCATTGACACTCTTGTTATAAAAGATAAGACAATCTCCCATTGTCTAGGCAATATACAAATTTGTAGTTCTTTATTCCACTCATCCATTAACATCTACATATCAGATAGACTTATTGATAAGAAATATATATAAAAACTAATAGTAGGTTTTTTAGTTCTAAAGGATTTAACAAGTTCTAGTTCAGAACAAGATGTTCTGAGACATCTCAGGTGTCTCAGAAGCAGAGAATGCTGCTGTTACAAACAATGTTGTTAACAAATGTTGTACCTGTAAATATTGCCATTGGGATACCTCCTATAGATGATATTTATCTCTTAACACAGCATATGTTAAAAATTCGTCTTCATCATCTGTCAGTTGGTCCAATGTCAATATCCACACTTCCATCCAATTTTTCCATATCATCATCTTTTCCCCAATTTTGGGTTTCCATAAAGTTCATTTGGGATGGGAAAAAGGGTCAACTCTTTTTTTATTAGACAGTATGTTCTATAGCTTTCTAATTGATGAAATTGTTTCCAGAGATATTGGAGTTCTGTTGTATTTAGATCCTAACACCTATGTGCCCATAAATGTTTCAATTCATCTTTCACATTATTTTCTCTTTTATTTTTAATCTTATTTTATATGATGCATAAGCAATCAAAGTAATTGCACTATGATCTGATACATAACAAATGTCCATGTTACATTCTTGAATTTGATTATACAGAGTCAATGATATTAAGAGGTAATCAAGCCTAAAAAAATCCTGGTGCACATTTGAATAAAATGTATATTCTCTTTCAGTTGGATACTTCAAATGCCAAGGGTCTATTAAACTCAATTCTTCAATATAGGTCTTAATTATTTCCCATCAAGAAAAAATGATGGTTTTCTTCAAACTGGTGTGTTTGTATCAAGTTCTAGACTCAGTATTTCATTAAAATCTCCTATTACCACTTCATCATAGATACACTCATTCAATTATCAAAAACATTCATGAAACATAATAGGAGAATCTAAAATAGGTCCATAAACATTAACCATAGCTATTACAGTCTCTGCTATTTAGCACATAAAATTAAATAATGGCCATTCACATCAGCAATAAACGTTTGTATATTAATTGAAAATCCCTTTTGAACCAAAATGGCCACACTTTTAGCTTTCATTGAGGTATCTGTGAGGGAAACCTGTCCCACCCAATTTTTCATTAATAGAGATTTGTTTTGTTCCATTAAATGTGTCTCCTGTAAATAAGCAATGCCTGCCCTTAATGATTTTAAATATGCTAAGATTACATTTTGGTTTTTTGAAATCTTGTAGCCCTTTTACATTAATACTAACTTCATCCATTAATTTTGTTTTGGCCCACTTATCAATATTCTCCCAATACCAATCCATTTTATAACCTGTACCTATTGACAAATATCTAGTAATGAACCTTTCTATCATTAAATGTTTTTCATATTTTCTAATATTGCTCACAGACAAGGAACCTGCATAATAACTCAAATTAATATTCAAATAGCATTGTATTAGACATATATAGAATCTATACTTGAAAGAAAAAAAGAGAAACATGATTAAATACAAGAAAATAAAACAACAAGCAAGTAACATTGTTATAAAAACTGGAAAAAAACCCTTAAAAATAAACAGAAGAATAAAGAAATAAAAAGAAATACATATCTTCTCAGTGGGATAGCACGGAAGCTCATCTCTCTTATTATAAGTAAATCTACACAACAGCTTCAAACT